CCTGCCCGCGCTGCTGGGGGCAGCGGCGCAAGTGGGATCCGCGGCCGTTCTGCTGCCGGTAAATCGCAGTGGCGCGCGAGGCTGCGCCGGTCGCTCGCCGGCGCCCCTGTTGCCTTCGGTGCCTTTGGAGCCTTCGGAGCCTGTTTGCAGGTCCGGGGTGGGGTCTGTCAGGAAGGGATGAGTGGCGCGCCGGGAGCGCCTTGGGTGCTGCAGCCAGGTTACTGCCAGCTCCCAGCCCCTCCTGGCAGCAGCGCTCAGCTACCGCAGCGCGCGGGAGCGTCCTGGGGGGCTGTCCCCGCTGGCCTTAGGACGGTTGCCCAGCGGGCGTAAGGCGGCCGAGGTCTCGGTGACACCGGTACCTGAGCGGCAAATGCCGGAGGTGCTGCCGAGACCCCCGCAGCGTCTGTCCCTTTTTGGTAACAGCTGCTTACAAAGGCCAGCTATGTATGTCTCTGAAATGTGTTGGCACTTGTGCATAAAAGCTTAACGGGAGAATTGTTCCTCGGTGACTGTAAACAAAAAGCTGCTGTTAATACATCTTTATAGTCTCTGGTAACCCATTTAGTTTGCAGGCTTTTCTAAGTCTTTCTTAAATTCACCAACAATAGGGTTTTATTTTCTACGGCTATTGATTTCAGTTTTTCCAGGCATGACTTGTCTTCCTACTGCACCCCGGATCAGCAGAATGCAGAATTAATTACTGCTGAATCATAACAGAGTCTTATACAACAGAATGCGAGTTAACGCGCACAAGAAGCAGCAACTTCAGCGATACTGACTCTGCTTCTATGTGCCAATGTAACTTTCCTGAGCAGTTGTTCTCAACATCTTGGTTTTGAGTTTCATGAGTTACGGAAATCTCTGTCTCTTATTTTCCTTTTTTTGGACAACATTAAACATGGCTGCTTAAGATATAACTCTTGGTTTATGGTGTTAATAGCTATCGAATGTAGTGGTATGATAAATCTAAAATAAATGTTTCCATATGCAGAATGGAGACTGATTGCAATCCTATGGAGTTACCCAATAATACGGGGTTTGAAGAGGATTCTGATTATAGAGACTTCGAAGGAACAGATGTGAAAGATATGAGACTAGAAGCCGAAGCTGTTGTGAATGATGTTCTGTTCGCTGTCAGCAACATGTTTGTCTCAAAAACCCTTCCCTGTGCAGAGGATGTGGCATATATCAATGTGGAAACCAGGGAAAGGAACAGATACTGCCTGGAGCTCACTGAAGCAGGACTCAGGGTAAACTAACTTGTTTATAATTTCTTAATCCTCTTTGTTTTGAACAATGATAGTGTTCAAACGGTGCCTAGAAAAATACTTCAGTGACACCAAAACAGCGTACTTATTCCTCTTGTACTTTTATGAAAGCCTGTTGTACGTGTTTTCTCTTAGAAAGTGGAACTTTTAACTAGTTCCTTCCAGCAGAGCAGGAAGGGAAGTTGATGAAAAACCAGGCATGTGTTTGAGACACAAAATGATGAAGATTGAAGCAGCAATTTGTTATAGGCATGTCAGTCTTTGGGTTTCGTGGGTACCCAGGTAAGTCAGTAATACAGCATGTATACAACTCCCTTTTGCACCATTGGTATTTTTTGTGCAAACATGTAGATGTAAGACTTCTTTTCAAAGGTTGTAGTGATAGATCTTACCAATATTCTGAGTTTTGGGCAGAAGGTATTTGAAACTATCTAAATACTGTATTATCACTTAGCCCCATAGTAGAAAGCACAGGTTGTGATTTAAGTCCAGTATCTTTTGTTCTTACATTACTGTACTACCCTGACTAGCAAAGTTAAATGTTGTGATACCTGTTTCCCATTGCAAGGTGATTCTAACCAATGATTTCTTTGTTGCAGGTAGTAGCTTATGATTTTGATCAGACTGATGACAGACTGCAAACTCCATACCATGAAACTGTCTACTCCTTATTGGACTCTCTCAGCCCTGCATATCGAGAGGTGTTTGGAAACGCATTACTACAAAGACTGGAAGCTTTGAAGAAAGATAGTCAGTCATGATTTACCCAGAAGTGAAGAAGGTTTAATGCTAGAAGGAATTCTTAGTGTGAGGCGCTGAGATCTTCCTTTAAAACATAGTCAGAAACATCTTAAGCTTCATTTCTTGCATTAATTTCTATTTCATGCTAGTACTACTCTGTAATACTTTGCTGCAGTGGATTTGCGTATATCACAATGCCTTTAAAAGCCACTTTGAGAAATTGCAAAATTAATAAACTTTTTTGTTTTCTTTTTTTGTGGTAGGTGAGCAAGTAAGTTGCTTCTTACAATACTAAAAAAATTTGGTGTGTTTTCAAAGTGTTATTATCCAAAACTAAAAAAATAGAGAGAGACTGAATGTTATATATACAAGTAGTAATTTTTTTTGGTGTGTGCTTACTGGTAAGTTTTATATCTGCTTTTTAAAATAGAAGCTAACTACTTGCTCTACCCAATTAATGAAAAATAATTGGGAAAACTACTGTTCTGCAAAGAACAGAATTTCAGCTTGATTTGCTATACATAAATCTGAAAATTCGCAGCTTTGGTAACAAAAAAGGTGGTTCTTGAACAGCTGAGCGTTGCTTATATACTGACACTATCTGAATTAAAAGCAAGGCTCAGTATTCTTTGATCTGTCCTTGTCTATGGCAACCAGCAAACTCAAAATAATAAATGAGATGTACTGCTAATATATGAATGTATTGTCTGAATTGCAAATGAGTTAAGCACAGAATTAGGATGTAATGGGCTACATTTCCTAAAGATGATGTTATATATGCTATATATATATGTATGCTATATTGTAACTGTTTGGGAGGTTTGGAAGACATTTTAGCCTGTTTACTATTCTGAATGTGTGTTTACATGATGTACAGAATATACCCAAGAGTATTTTTGCTTCAGCCTTTACTTTCTATAATACAGTACTTTGGTACTCCCGTTTTTCACATTTTCTCCCTCAATTGTACAGCATCCTCTCCTAATCAATACTAAGTAAGCACTCTAATGTTAATGGCATTGTATTGGTTTGAAACCAAAGGCTGTATGAAATTTGCTAAGACTAATAGAAACTGGAAGATATAACTTGTATTTTCTACTTAAAAACAGGTGCAAATCTCTTTATAAATCTATTGTTCTGCTGTAACTTTTCAAGTATGTACTGAATAGTAGACTTTTTAAAAATTACAGTTGGTTAGAAATACTGGTACTGTTGAACTAACATTCTGTGACGTTCATACTTTTTGTATTCTTGTATTACTCAGTATTTGTGCATCTTTATTTAAATAATCCTGCCATTATTCTGCCATGCTTTTGTGACAAGTACATGCAGTAGCTTTTTTGGAGCCACACTTAGGGATGCGTCGGTTCTCATGAAGTCACAGATTCCAGTGACTTCAGTAGAGCTATATTGACTTCTGCCTGCTAAGGATTAGTCATATTAATTGGAGAAGCCTAGGAGAGCTTTTGTAATAGCTTTGGGGTAGTGAGGTACAGCTATGACTGACAAGACAACTGTAGTTGGCACTTCTGTTTTCCAGATCTTAATTTTGTGTTTATTTTATTATATTTTTAGGTTGAAACTTCTGATATTAATCCTCTGCCCTAGGGTATGCTTCCATGCTCTAAAAATTGTTCATAGGCTCTCTTTTGCACACAGGTCTGTGGCACGTGGTTAGTCCTCTGTGAGGAGAATGTACTTTACCAAATTTATATTTGAATATTTTCCCTTGCAACTAATTTACTTGTTCAATTTCAGTGACTAAAGCATTAAATAAATGCACCTGTCTGTTGTAGTTTTTTTTGGGGGGGAGCTACTGGAAAGGGGGGAGTGCACAATCAAGGTCCTCATGCCCATAAAAAAATCTTAAATATCAGATAGTTAACAAGTATTTGAAAACCTTTGGCTGCAAACATGTATCATGCTGAAACTTTGTCATGAATAAACAATGTAGGTGATGGTGAAGAGGGACCGGGAAAGGAAGTGTTAGAAATACAAGTGGAAAAATGCCAAAGTAAATGTTACACTGCTAAGATTTTTTTTTTTTCCTTAGGCATCTTTAAAATGATTTGTCGTTTTGCGTGCTTATTATAAACCTAAGCTGAGAAATACTTTCGAAACAGGTGTTTTGTAGGTGTTACCAGAAGAAACTTGTGTTGTTTCTGAGAACATACTGCAGCATTAACTCAGAAGTGGGAAAGCTATGTCATTCCACGATGTCTGGGTTGATGACTATGAAGAAAAGTTCCTGTACTCAGGCATTGCTGCCTCTGTGGAGGGAGCTTCCTTGGAGCGCTGACAATGGAGAATTTCAGGCGGTGGCCTTAGACCCTCAGCTGTTTTTATTATCCGACCCCCTGAGTGCTGCTCGGCCTAATGTGTCTGACCCCCTGAATTACCCGAGAAGCCTCAAAGCCTGCCTGCTGCCTGAAAGGATGTCAAATAGCCCGATTAAAGCTATTTTTGTCTCGGCAGTACTCCTTACGTTTTGTCCTGTTGGGCGTCTAGAAGTCAGGAATAAAGTCCCTAATGTAGTGGCTGGCGCTACCCCTGTTTGTCCTCGGATAGACTGAATTAGGCATAAAAAACCAAAAGCGTACGTACAGACCAGATGCCTCTTCGTACCGGCGGCCCTGACCGGGCGAGCT